GAGGGAAATGGAAAGAATCTGGTGTGAAAAAACAATGAATTCAAATAAACTAGTATAAAAAAGAATGTAAAATAGAATGTATATGTATGATTGTATGAAACACATGTAAATGAAAGACTGTATAAAACGCAATGTATATGAATGAAACATACTGTAAAGATATTGTTGTGTTGTTGTTATGTGCTGTTGAGTCGCTTGCGACTCATAGCAACCCTATGGACAACAGCCCTAAACTCTGTTCTGTCCTGTGCCAATCACACTGTCTCCAACATACCCATCCCACTTACATTAATCACTGAATCAATCTACCTCACAGAGGTCCTTCCTCTCCTGTACTCTCCCTCCACCCTCCCAAGTGTGATGTTCTTCTCCAAGGACTGGTCTCTCCTTATGACATGTCCAAAGTATGTCAGATGAAGCCTCAGAATCCTTGCCTCCAAGGAGCAGCCTGGATTAACCCTCTCCAAGATGAATCTGTTTGTATTCTAGGCAGTCCATGGTACCCTCAATACTCTTCTCCAGCACCACAGCTCAAAGGCAGCAATTCTCCTTCTATCCTCCTGAGTCATTGTCCAACTCTCTGATGCATAACAAGTGATTGCAAAGACCATGGCCTATATCAGATGCACCCTAGTCTCCAGAGAGACACCATAGCTCTTCAGTACTTTAGAGAGGTCCCCAACAGTAGACTTTCCCACCGCAATACGTCTTTTAATGTCCTGGCTACTGGTGCCAAGAGTGTTGACTGTGGAGCCAAGCAAACTAAAGCTGTATTATACGAAAATCAATAAAAATATTTTTAAAAAGAAAACAAAAGTACTTACCACGGACCAATAAGAAATATCATAAAAGATAGAGGAAAGGTTGAAGTTGTGAAGAATTTCATCTTATTTGGTTCCACAATCAATATCCCTAATACTGGCAGTCAAGAAATAAAAAAAAGACGTATTGCATTAGGGAAACTTGTTGGTAAGGACCTCTGAGAAGTGCTAAAGGGCAATGATGTCAGTTTAAAGACTAAGATCCAAGCCATAGTCTTTTCAATTATTTCGTATGCATGTGAAAGTTGGACAATGCCTGATGATGACAGAAGAATCAATGCCTTTGAGTTGTATTGTTGAAAAAGGGTACTGAATATCTCATGGACTGTCAAAAGAACAAACAAATACGTCTTGAAGAAAATGTAACCAGTGTGCTCCTTGGAGGCATGTTGTCAAGGTGGGTCAATCCTTGGAAAAAGACATGTGGAAGGATGGGGGAGGGTCAATGAAAGAGAAGAAAGCCTTCAGCAAGATGGACTGAGACAGTAACTATAAAAATGGGCTCTGGATGTCAGATATGAGGAGGATGGCATCGGATAGAGCATGTTCAGATCCACTGTTCATAGAGTCACTATAAATCTTTATCTACTAACAACAATATTTTTGAATCCTAGGAGGATAAGCTAAGACAGTGAGATGGATTGACACAGTGACTGTCACGTGGGCTGAAGCATGGTGAAAATCATGAGGGATGCACAAGGTAGGGCAAAGTTCTGAACTGCTGTTCATATTGTCACTCTAATTTATAGTTGACTTGATGGTACCTAGCAACAACAGCAGGAAGAACTGAGGGTGAGAATAAAACCTATAGATTCACTGAGAGTAGATAGAAGCCCTCTTTTGAAATGGAAATGAACCATAATATTTGGTGTTATACGGTGAAATTTTGGGGTAACAGGGGTTGGGAAGCCACAATTAATAGAACCTTGGGGTCCTATCAAAAACGTGTTGCACTGAAAAAATCTCTATCAAAGACCATTCTGGAGTGCTAAAAAGGAAAGAAGTCTGCTTAAAGGCTAAGGTGCACCTGATTCAAACCATGGTTTTCAATGACTTCCTAGGCATGTGGAAACCTGAGAATGAATAAGGAAGACCAAAGAAGAATTGATACCTTTGAATCATGGTGATGGTGAAGAATATGGAATATCCCATGATTGGAAAGGTGGGAAAAGTGATTGAGAAAGAGAAGACGACCCTCAACAAAACACAATGACCATAATGATGGGCTCCAGCAGGTTGGAGACCCTAAGGATGGTATAGGATTGTGCAAGGTTCATGTCTGTGGCTCAGGGGGCTGCTATGAGGCACAATCAACTAACTGGAATCTAAAGGAAGGAAAGCCTTTCTACCTTTGCAGGCATTTCTCTGAACAGTTATCCATTGAACCCTTGGTCACACGTAAGTCTATGTGTGAATCTCACTTTCCCCTAGTTTTGCTGGGTGATTTGGGACCTTGTTTTTAGTTTCCTTCTTCCTTCTTCAGCAGTTTCTGCAAGCCAGCATTCCTGGGCACACCTCATTGCATATTTAGTCCTAGCTTATTCTCCTCCCATGATTTACTGCCTCTGAAAACTCACTGGAGGGTAAACTATGGGTTGGTTTTGACTTGACAATACACAACAACAACACAGACTTTCCTTATCCACATTTCTGGTGAAGGCTCCTATTTCACACATAAATCTTAAACTTGTAGCTGCTGTGTTGGTTCTGACACATAGTGACCTAACAGGACAGAGTAAGATGGTATTATAGTGTTTCCAAGACCATCATCCTTATGAGAGAAGACTGTTGTCTTTTTATCTCACTGAGTGACAGGTGGCTTTGAAATATCAGTCTGTCCACTGGTAGCTGAGTGCTTATCCACTGGTAGCTGAGTGCTTAACTACTGCACCATCAGGCAGTTATTGCATTTAACTGGCAGTTAATGCCAGTTATTGTAGTTAGGTGCCATTGAGTCGAGTATGAGTTATAGCGACCCTGCGAACAACAGATCTGAAACCTGACCTATCCTGTGCCTCACAGTCTCTGACACACTCAGCGCATTGCTGCATTCACCATGTTAGTCCACTTAGTTGAAGTTCTTCCTTTTTCTCCACCCTCCACCTTTCAACATGCCCAACGTATGTATGACAAAACTTTATTGTCTTTGCCTCCAATGATGTTAAGTTGGCGGCAGGTGAGAGGGAAGGTATTGGCATGTACCAGCTCTGGTGACACAGTCTATGTGGTACACCAAAAGGTAGTGAGTGCACCTGTAAGTGGTTCAAATCTACTAGGCGCTCCATGAGAGAAACATGGGCAGTCTCCTGTTAACATTTACAACTTCAGAGTCATGACGGATGTCTTGAAATCACCTGTTAGATATGTGAATACTCATCCCAACTAATGTTATAAGAATTGACCTGATAGTAATTGGTTGAGCTGAGTGACCAGATGGGAATTAGTCGAGGGAGTAGAAGAAGCAATTTCATCTAGAATCCCTAGCAAGTCCCATATACCTACTAACCTTGAGAAGATTGGAAATCTCAGAAGATTTGATTGTGCTTATACAATACTTATACCCGGATCAGGAAGCAATCCTCTGAACAGAGCAAGAAAACACTGTATGGTTCAAAATCAGGAAAGGAATGTGTCAGAGATGCGTCCTGCCTCCATACCTTTTCAACCTATATGTAGAACAGATAATTCTAGAGTCTGAGCTTTATGAGGAGGAATGTGGCATCAGGGTTGGAGGAAGACTTGTCAAAAACCTGTGATATACAGATGACATAACCTTGCTTCCTAAAATTGAGGAAAACCTGAAACACTTGCTGCAAAAGGTCAAGGACTGTAGTCTTCAATATGGATTAATGCTCAACATCAAGAAGACAAAGATTCTCACCACTGGGCCAATTGGCAGCACCATGATAAATGGAGAAGAGTTTGAGGTTTTTAGCAATTACAGCTTGTTTGGCTCCACAATCAACACTCTTGCCACTAGTAGTCAGGAAATCAAAAGACAAATTGCACTGGGGAAATCTGCTGTCAGGGGCCTCTCCAGAGTACTGAGAAGCAACAATGCCATTCTAGAGACTAAGATACTCCTGATCCAGGCTATGTGTCAGAAATCTGGACAATGACTAAGGATGATACAAGAGGAATCAATGCCTTTGAGTTATGGTGCAGGAGAAGAGTATTGAACATACATACTACAGACTGTCAAGAGAACAAACGGATCTGTCTTTGTGAGGGAAAAACCAAGTCTCTTCTTGGAAGCTAGGATTTTGAAGCTCCGTCTTACATACTTTGGGCACATGGCCAGGATCGACTAGTTCTTGGAGAAGGACATCATACTTGATAGGGTGGAGGGATAGCACAAGAGAGGAAGATCCCAGATAAGATGGATTGTCACAGTAACTCGGGCAATGGGGGTTGATGTGTCGGAATCAGTGAGACTGGCTTCGGAGCTGTTGTACACAGAGTTGCTATGAATCACAGGAGACTCGATAGCACATAACAACATCAACAAACTGCCAAGTTTGATCGATGCCTTAAAAATATTCTTATCCAACCTTTGAAATGCCTCCATTCCAAAACATTTGTGCCATTTAAAATGAATTACCATCAAGTTGATTCCAGCTCCTGGCGACCCTGTGTATGTTGAGTAGAATTGTGCTCCAGGGAATTTCAAGTGGGTGGGGTTTTTTCTGCCCCAGTAGATTCCAAGGTATTTTTTCCCAAGGCAACCTGATTGCACTTGAACCTCCAACTCTTTGGTAAGGAGGTGAACATGCTTACTGTTTGTACTACCCATGGAGTTTGCTGATGCAAAAATAAGTGCTCTGGTGAGGTTTTTGTACATAGAAATAGCCCTAGTCCCTTTTAAGGATTTTGAACTTCCAAAGGAAAGCCTGGGGCAGTCACTTTCAAACTGCCCTAAAAACTAAGAAACCAGACGCCATCAAGTTGAATGACCCATGGGACCCCAAGAGTGTTAGAGTGGACTCCACATGTGTTTTTCAGTGCCTGATGTTTCAGAAGTAGAGCACCAGGCCTTTCTCCCAAAGCACCTTTGGATGAACTTGAACCACCAACCTCCTAGTCAACCATTTAGGACAATAAAAACCCAATAAAGAGGCTCCTCATGAGGCAATATCAGAAATGCAGCCACATGGGTCCCTCAGAAGATGCTGTACTCACGTCGGGTTCGGACGGTGTCGCTGGGCGGGCTGAGGGGGCTGGCACCATGCAGATTCACAGCCCTCACGGCAAACTGGTAGTTGGTATCTGGGATGAGGCCTTTGATAACCATGGAGTCCATCTTGATCTGCTCTTTGATTAAAGTCCAACTCTTGTCAAAATCTGGTCTTTAATGATAAAACAAAAATGGGAGGAAAAAAAGCAATGGTTCAGAAATATCAGTGGGAAGGGGAGCAAACTGAATTTGCAAACTGATAGCCTCTGAACGCTAGAAGTCACACTCATAAAAATGAGTTGCATTTCCCATCCAAAAAGCATCCTGACTTAAAGCATGGGCCATCATTTGTTAAGTTTCTGCCAATAAAAGCAAGTAGATCATTTTTAGGGCCGGTGTTAAGTGCTGTTTAAAGATCATCCGCTCTTCCTCACTAGGCCTTAACTATGATGGAGAGATTCCCCGCACAGGAGTTTACTTTCAAGGACTCTCCCTTCCAGATGCTTCATAAACAAATCTGCCCTTAGCAGTCCCCATCCCCGGGGGTCAGGAGAGCACCGATTCCATCTGTTCACAAACTAATCCTAAAGAAAACACATATTAGTTTAAGAGGGTGACTGATCATACTCCTTGTATTTCTATATGGAAACCCAAGGAGATTCTGTGCATGACCTTTCTTGCTCCTAACGAATAGTACTGTGTGCCAACTTGCAAAATTTGCATACACCCTCTAGGCCTCTCTACAGAAAGCAGACTTTTGCTCAGAGCTCCCATCTGGGAGACATTGTATAGATGCTAATCATGCAAGTTCAGGGAGCTCTGATGGAATAGTCCTTAGGGAAATAGTACACTGCTACTCCAAAGGCACCGCCTTGCTGGCAGTTCAAATCCACTAGCAGCTCCATGGGAGAATGCTGGGTAATATTCTCCCAAACAATTTACGGCCTCAGAAAATGAGCTGGAGTTACAATCAGCCAGTGGATTCAAACTACTGACCTTTTAGCTAGCAGCCTGATGTTTTCTTTACTTAAGATTTTCTTTACTGTGATTCACAATCAACTCAATGACAAAAGACAGCTCTGAGGGTGTGTGTGTGTGTGTGTGTGTGTGTGTGTGTGTGTGCGCACGCGCACAAAGAGCCAAAAATTGTTCTAATAACCAGTTTTCAGAGTTGATTCCAATTCAGGACCACCTCATGTGTATCGGAACAGAATGTATTCTGTAGGTTTTTATTATTCATTAATAAATATTAATTATAATTAATAACTATTCATTTATTGTGATTGGAATGAAAGTTTACTTAACAAGCTTTCGTTTCAACTATTTCCATTGGCTTTCCATTGAACTATTCACACTGTTTACTGACATTAATTACAATTTAAAAATCCCAAACAATCCACTGCCTTCAAGTCAATTACAGCTCATAGCAACCTTCTGTCAGGTTTCCAAGGCCATAAATGTTAATGGGATGAGACTGTCCATCTTTCTTCTACAGAACTGCTGGTGGATTTGAACTGTTAAGCTCCTGCTTACCAGTCTGATACATTATGCACTATATGTCCAAAGTGCCTTGTAGTTACAATAGTAGTGCCATTGCAGCTTTCCCACAATCCTCCTTGAGATTCTCACTTCCATTAACATGTCTATCCTACTCTTCCCTGCCTTTGGTTCTTGACACCAGGACAACGCTGCTCTTTTGCCTTCACATGATTGGCTGTTGTAAGAAGCGAGTGGTGTTGCTGTAGGCCCATCTGTTGTCTAGGTGAACGCTGAGGAACAGAGGGAGTTGTGTTCCAGATGGGAAGGGTGGTTGACCAAGGACAATAGGGATGGAGATTCCACTGGTCTCTTTTGGACCAGTCAAGCTGGCCTTTTGGATCTTTTTGAATTTTGTTCCACATTTCCCCTCACTCTTATCCATAGGGTTTTTAATGGCTGATTTTTCCAAAGTAGATAGCCAGACCTTAATTTTAAGATGTGGGCTCAGAACAGCCAATCTTTTGGTTATTGGTGCAGTGTATTAACCATCTGTACCACAGAGGGGCTCTTATTGCTCTAACATCTTAACTTTTCACTTTTTATAACTATAACATATAAACCACTGTTGTTAGCGGCAATTGTTGTTATTGTTGTCATGTGCCATCGAGTCACTTGCAACTCATAGTGACCCTATGAACGATAGCTTTGAATCCTGTTCTATCCTGTGTCAACCTTATTGTCTCTGACACACCTGCACCCATTAGCCTCAGTCACTGAATCCATCATCTCATCAAGGGTCCTCCTCTCTTGTGCTGTCTTTCCATCCTTCCAAGCATGATGTCCCTTTCTAAGGACCCATCCTTCCTTGCAACATGCCCAAAGTACATCAGATTGAGCTTTAGGTCCTTGCCTCCATGGACCAGCCTGGTTTCACCCTCTCCAGGACAAACCTGTTGGTTTTTTTTTCCTATCAGTCTATGGTATATTCAACACTCTTCTCCAGCACCACAGCTCATAGGCTTCAATTATCCTTCTATCATTCCTTGTCATTGTTCAGCTTTCTAGGGTGTAGCAAGTAATTTAAGTACTATTATTAATAATCTCTACCCACACTGAACTCCTTAAAATGAGGATTCAAAGTCACACACTTGAAGAATGATAAGGCCAACTCGGATGGGTTGACCAGATTAAGATCATCAATGTCAGAAGGAAGAATTGTGCTAGTAGGGGTCAAGAGACTTTTGTCCAAACTGCTCTGATTTTAAACATTTCTGCTTGCAGATAAATAAAGGGGAGCAGGGAACAAAATCTTTGGTGTTAATTCTTCAAAAGGATCTCTGATGGTCTAGTGGTAAAAGAACTGTACTGCTAACCCAAAGGTTGGCAGTTGGAATCCCCTAGCTGTTCTGTGGGAGAATGATGGGTGATCTCCTCCAATGTAATTCACAGCTTCTGAAAACCCTCTCCAGGGTCAGCTATGAGTCAGTTCCGGCTCCATGGCAATCAGTTGAATTTGTTTTTAGTTCTTTATGAACAACTTCTTAGGTGAGGAGATAGACTCTTTTTTTTTTTTTCTGGAAAGGAAATGCTCAGGTGATAGAGGATTTCTTCACTATAAAGCACATGCTTTGATATCACGAACAGGAACTTTTGAAAGTCATCTTTCCCCTCAGCCCAGGAGAAGAACAGATGCTTCCTTGGCCTTGCTGTGGAGAGAAGCAGGTTGTGCGGCAAGAGTCTCGGACTCATGGTGCTCCTGTTTGGAGAAGTACTTCACAGGGCATGTCCACAGAGGAACCAGCGTCTGTGGATCTTTCCTAGTATTCTTTCCTTAAAGCAGGATTTCTAATGTAAACTAACTTTTATCTTCAAAGAGGAAGCATCATGAGTGGAAGGAAACACATTTACAAACTCAAACAAAATCACTCCACTGAGGAAAGCCACAGGGGACATCTAACTGTAAAGTCAGAAAGGATGCGCTTTTCAGATAAAACTATCCTGGAAGCCTTTGCTAAGCTTCCCTTGTGAGATTTATAGAGGAAATAACCTGTAAGTGGTCCCAGAATGTGCTTTCCTAGTGCTATCTCTAAATGTGACGCAGTAGACTTGACTAGAACTGGCCCATGGGGTCGACAGCACACAAGGACAGCCATTTACAAAGATCCTTCACCACTTTCATGCAAACATCCCAGAGGGAAAATAAGGACATTATTTTGGATTTGTTTTACTATTCAAGCAAGAAAGAAACTTATGTGTAAGAGATAAGAGATTGAAATCATAGCCATTTAATTTCATTGTTATGGAGGGAGAGAAGAAAGTTCAAACAGATGGAATGCCAGTTCAGAACCTTTAGCATTTCCCTCTGGTTTGGCCCTGGTTTTGCTTTATTTGAATGTTTTTAAAGTCCCTGAGGTACAAAAGCGCAAAGGTGAGATGGAGAGACAAGCCAAGCAAAAGCATTGTCTCAATGCATCTTCAGCAATAGCTGTCCAGTCATTTCTCACTCATAGTGACCCTGTGAACAAGATTAAAATATCTTATCCTGCACCATCCTCGTCTCCGTCATGCTCAAGCATTGTTACAGTCACCATAACAGTTCAGCTCTGTGAGACTTTTCCTCTCTTTCATTGAATCTGTTTTTGCCAGTTGTTATTATGTACCATAGAGTTGGAACTGACTCATAGTTGACCCACCAGTGGGTTTTCAGAGGCTGCAAATTACACTAGAGGAAATTGTCCATCTTTCTTCAGTGGAGCAGCTGGTGGACTCAAACTGCATGATTTTGAGGTGGTAATGCAACTCCTCACCATGAAGTCACAACAGCTCAAACTCAAAGAACCCTAAAAAGCAATGTGGTTCTCTCTTAGTTATAATGTTTTATATGCTGGCCAGTAGAAACTGGCTCATAGCTGATTCTCTAGCAGGTTTTGAGAGGCAGGAAATCACATGAGAGGCGACTGTCTATCTATCTTCCACAGAGCAGCTGGTGGATTCGAACTATGTGCCTTTCTTTGGGTTGGTATTGCAATTCCTTACTTCTTTCCCAGTATGATGACTTTTTCCAAAGACAGGTCCCTCCTGACAACATACTCAGAGAAAATAACACTAAGTTTATCTTTTTAGATTAAAGAAAGTAATTTCATCTTAGCTACAAAGCTATCTGTCAAAGAGCCATAGTGATACTACCCCCTAAAAAGAGGAGGCTAGAGAGGGAGGCCTTGAGTTAGAACGCGCTGTCCTCACAGGAGGGAGCTCTGGTGGAGGCATCCACAGAGCACTGCAGGGCTAACTCAAAGGCTGCTTGGTTCGAATTCACAAGCAGCTCAGTGGGTGAAAGGTGAGCGGATCCTCTTGTGCGATTCACAGCCTTGGAAACCCACTGAGTCAGTTCAGACTCAAACAGCAGTGAGTGAGCAATCTCGAGAACTCACAGGAGTTCCAGAGCGCTGCAAATGAGAGGTTTGAATCCACCCAGAGGCACCTAAAAGACAAACAAACAAACAAACAACCCCCCCCCCCCATCTATAGAAAACTCAGCCACTGAAATCTCAATGGATCTCAGCTCTCCCTTTCCCAGACTGCGGCGGCTGCTCTAGTCAGAATAGCCTCCGTGGCAGCTGGCATTGGTGTTGTCCTCCCAGTAAATGCAGGTGATCGCCTGGAGGGCTCATTTTGTGAAGATGGAAGTCCTAC